CAACTGTCAGTTTGCTACTAAACATCCAATTTTATTAAGGAGCTGAAAGATCCAATCATAGGGATACAAGTCTTTTGAAAATGATCTGATTATACCAAACACTAAGACTTTAAACAGACTCTTCCACGATGATGATTACCTTGCATCTTATTATTAATTTGGTGTCGGACAGGCTGGAAGTACGTTCCTCGGCAAGTAAGTCATCTCTGAAAAGACCCCTGATATGTTTTCAACTTATTATTGAGCCCTTCAGCTATAACTACTTACTTGTACTTCTTAGTCTGAGAGTAAAAGTGAGGTGTTATTCGACTTCATTACACTTGATATGTGATAGTCGTTTAGTCCTTTCCTTGTTGCATAGCATCAGTGCTTTATAATCGAGAGGTTTAAAGTCAGCTGGTTGAATAAATGTCTACATCCGTCTAGTTTGTAAGTGTCAATGTTTGCTGCGTAATCCATTCAGTTGAGGACTTCTTGTTCTGTGTGTTTGACACTTGATGCATACATATACGTGACGACTGGTATTCATAATTAACTCATCAATAAAATGTAGAAATTAGACACTGTGCTAGAATTAGATAGGTTATGTGTTACTGTCTCCCTGTTTCTCTTATGAAAATTTATCCACTGTCATTATTTACACCTAACTGGAGGAGTAAGTACAATGTCGATTTGATGCTTTGGAGTCGTCACTGCAAGTAAACTTGCCTTGTGATAGCCGTTCGAGCTTACTAAAGAAATTTTTCATTTTCCCTTCAGTCAGTAATAGTGTATCTAAGCTTTGCCGATGATATATGTCTGATTTCCCACAAACTGGAAGATATGCAAGCGAAAAGCAACAAGTTGGCAGAAGAAACATCAAACATAGGACTTCAGGTGAACATAGAGAAAACAGAGGTACGTGATGAAGATTCCTGGGCAAGAACAACAACAGACAACGATCAGCATAAATGGGAGCAACCTGAAAGAAACAACCTCTTTTACCTACCTGAGAAGCATCGTTCCCACTACATGTGGAACTGACAAGGATATCAAAGCAGGAATCGGAAAAGCAAGACAAGCTTTCACTACTCTCAAGTCTGTGTGCAGGTCAACAGCACTTAGCATCAAAAAGAAGATCCGGATTTTCAACTCCAATGTGAAGTCAGTCAGTGCTACTCACTGTACGGATCAGAGACTTGCACTACGCGTCATAAAGAGCATCTCAAACAAACTACAAACCTTCATTAACAGTTGTCTTCGCTCAATACTCAAGATCAGATGGCCAGCCAGAAAAGATCAGCAACAGGGATCTTCGGGAGCGAACCAACCACGAACCGATTGTGAAACAAATATGCAGAAGGAAATGTAGATGGATTAGCTGGCCATACTCTGAGGAAACAATCATCAAGTGACATCACTAGACAAGCCCTAGAGTGGAACCCGAACGGCAAGCGGCGAGTTGGTCGTCAGTGCAAGGGTGACTTGGAGGAGGTCATGTGAAGAGGAGATGAAAACGTGTGGGCAGACTTGGAGCCAGGTGAAGACTCTCGCAGAATACCGAACGCAATTGGGACGCATGGCTGAAGCCCTATGTTCCACTAGGAATTAAGGGAAACAATAATAATAGTAACTCAGAGTTTCCTCGATTAAAATCAATGTTCA